ACGGGCGGCGGGAACGGGCGGCGGGAACGGGCGGCGGGAACGGGCGGCGGGAACGGGCGGCGGGAACGGGCGGCGGGAACGGGCGGCGGGAACGGGCGGCGGGAACGGGCGGCGGGAACGGGCGGCGGGAACGGGCGGCGGGAACGGGCGGCGGGAACGGGCGGCGGGAACGGGCGGCGGGAACGGGCGGCGGGAACGGGCGGCGGGAACGGGCGGCGGGAACGGGCGGCGGGAACGGGCGGCGGGAACGGGCGGCGGGAACGGGCGGCGGGAACGGGCGGCGGGAACGGGCGGCGGGAACGGGCGGCGGGAACGGGCGGCGGGAACGGGCGGCGGGAACGGGCGGCGGGAACGGGCGGCGGGAACGGGCGGCGGGAACGGGCGGCGGGAACGGGCGGCGGGAACGGGCGGCGGGAACGGGCGGCGGGAACGGGCGGCGGGAACGGGCGGCGGGAACGGGCGGCGGGAACGGGCGGCGGGAACGGGCGGCGGGAACGGGCGGCGGGAACGGGCGGCGGGAACGGGCGGCGGGAACGGGCGGCGGGAACGGGCGGCGGGAACGGGCGGCGGGAACGGGCGGCGGGAACGGGCGGCGGGAACGGGCGGCGGGAACGGGCGGCGGGAACGGGCGGCGGGAACGGGCGGCGGGAAAGGGCGGCGGGGATGAGCAGCGCGGACGGGCAGCGCGGCCGCTTTATGGAGGGGCCGAGAGCCGCCTCTAATCGCCCGCCGCGGGGGGCGGAGGAGGAGGAGGAGGGAGGAAGGCGGGGGGAAGCGCTGCCCGGCCCCTCTGGGGAAGGGGCTCGGTAACCCTCTCCCTAACACCCGCTGGGAACTGTTTGTTCGAACGCTGGTGGCGGAGCAGGGATGCTCGTACGCACCCACTATCTCTGCACCCCAAAAACCCGCACAAACAGAGGTGCTTTCCCTCCTCAGATACACCTTGGTCACCCATACGAGAAAGGTTAAGGGGAGGACAGAGAAGACTGACTTTTTGTGGGGTCTGCAGCTGACAGGAATGTGCAGGCCACGGGGCTGGAGGGGACTGGCTACCTCCGGCATCCCCACACAGCCCCCTCACGGCAAACCGATTTGTAGGCTGCCGGGGGAAAGGCAAGCAAACTGCCTAATAAATGAGAGGTGGTGAGGGCTGGGTCCTCAGCAGAGGGTAAATACACAAAGTCGCCCACAAGGCGATGTCTTAGCCACAGGGAACCGGTGGCCCAGGCGAGGAGCTCCCCTAAACACCCAGCGAGGCTGCTGCAGAAAGCACATAGGGCAGGTTGGAGTCTCTAAGAGAAACACAGTGGGTAGATGTACCCAGTTCTTTACAAAAAAAAATAACTGAATTTATTGCTGTGAAGATAAATTGCAGCACATTATTTTCTAAAAAATTCCTGCGCGTTGAGGAAGAATAACTACACTTCGATTAGCAGGAAACTATATTTTCATATCTTATCTATGGTGTCATTTATTTTCTGTACAGATCTAGACATATGTTCATATTTTAGAAACTATCACCATTTTTAGACTCCAATAAGCCCAGTTCTCACCGTCTCCTCTCAGGTCAGACTTGGCAACAAGATAAGGGGAGTTGTGGTACACAGCAGGAGAAGCCAAAATGTTCCCCGAGAACATAATCCCTTGGAGACTTTAGGGTTTTGGAGGAAGAGAGGTTGATTATTTTGTGTTGGGCATGGGCCTGTCCAAAAACAGAGATTCTCGTCTTTCGATACGTTTCTTTCAAACCCACCTTTCAAAGGAATGCTCAAAATCAGCCACAACTAGTTTTACCCTAATTTACTCAAATGTCTGAAAAATCTCTGGTATTTTACTCTTCAGTGCCTAAAATATTGAAACCTTGATTCCGGATAGATCTCTTGAATGGTGGTGTAACGTAAATGATAAATGATACTGGTGAAGCCAATAAAAATCTATCAGAGGCCAACAGGGTCACACTTGCACTACATCTCCCATCTTCCTAGAAGACATTGAACTTCAAACAATCTTGTTTCTAAGAGAACTGAGGGTGACTCGCTCAGCACTTCAGACACAGCACAGGACTGAAAGAGCACGGCTGTAAGTGATGATGTAGCTGGAAAAGCCAGTTTGTTCCAATTTGCTAATGGGATATGTTTCATGACCAGATGCTTCAATATTCCCTTCATAGAGAAAATGGAGTATTTATTCACTATGTCTTAATCCTAGAACAGATATTTCACTTCCGTCTTGTGGAATAGATCTCCCCATCAAACAAGATGACTCAAAAAGCAAACAATTCGTAGCATCTTTACCCAGAATCTTAAGCATGTGAGAGCCTGATATTAGTAATGAATCTGTAAACATGGGCACAGTAAGATATTTATGATTGAATATGACTAATCTGTCAGTTTTCCCTAGCTTAAATGCAGCAATAATAAGAACTAACATGTCATTCTGCATATGATTTTTTTTTTTTAATTACTCACTAGGTAGCCCCCTGGAAGTTCTTCTATTGCAGATAAGCACCTTTTATTTGGAAATCTGGCCTCAGGCTGGGGTTTCCAGTACTTCCTGATAGCAGCCTGGTTGAAATTCCCATGCTTTCTTTTCTGTCAAAATGTTGTGCTCATCCTTGATAAAATTTGAAAGAAAATATAAGATAAAATTCTCACATTTCCTCAGGTGTCAGAAGACATCTAAGTTTGGGTCATTTTAACTGTGAATGAAGGATTTTTTTTTAATTTTTTTTTAACTTTTACTGAGCTGCCTTTCCCTCTCCTTTAAAGGCTATAAACTTTCACAAGATACATTGGGAAAGCCAGTTTATTCCTGGTGTATATATATATGAATTATTCTAGTGTTAAGGGACACGAATGTCCTCCTCTACAGCCTTAATCTGTAAAGATGCTCAAAGAAGAGTCAGTTACCCAAGCACTTCTGAAAAGCCACTCTCCCCCCAGGAGACAAGAGCAGCAGTGGTTTGGTTAGCATCTCTGGGTACCTGAAGACATGAAGCACAGGGAAGGGCACAGAACAGTCCAAGAGGCCACACCAAGACACAAGATGGTGAAGCTGCACTCAGCAGCAGCACACAAGCTTCACGGCACACAAGAGCCGTGGAGGGGATATAAACTGAGCTGCCAGCTATGCCAGATTTAAGGGCACCTCCTACCTCCGAGGTGCAGTTCTGATAAACAGACAGGAGTGCTCCTGCCTCCCATCCTCTCCCTGTCATTTCCAATTTGAGCAGGAGCTTTCTGGGACACTGGTCATCCCTCTCCTCATACCTAACACTTGGAGCTTGCGGTCAGCCTGACCTGTCACTGCTGATGCAATGCGAGCAGTACAGTAGCAGCCAAGGAAATTTAACCTAATATGAAATGAATCAATTACACAGAGATAACCGAGGTGCCCAGAATTTGGGGGAGCAGATTAAAGCTGATTCACTGGCTTAGTAAGCCAGTTGCTCACCACAGCCAATGCCCTGTAGTCTGAAAGAGCAGAACCACAAACCGTGAACTGACTTGATTACAGCCTGTTTCCACTGGGTGCTCACTGGAGCCTGCTCTGCTCCTCTCCACGCAGGGTTTCCAGCTCCTGTGAATCTGCAGATGGTTTTATAGGAGAACTGTTAAAAGCTTTCAGATGAAAAGCTGAATCTTCACAGTTTTAGGCTTGCAGAGTTTCAGAAAACCATCACTCCGTCACAAGCACAACTGCTGCTCTGGGTTTTCCCAGACAGTGGGACACTTCTACCTTCTCCCTAACACTGGCAGCGTATCCTACCATTTAAGAATGGTGGCTTGGGGCCCTCACCACAGACAAGAGCGATGTGGCACAGCAAGACTACTAGGAGTCAGGTGTGGAGTGCAAGGCGAACAGGACAGCAACATGCACAGGTGCTATTCTGCTCATCCTGGGAGGAGGCAGCACAGGCAAAGACCAGAAAATGTCTGAAATGTCACCGAGTTCGTCTGCAGGAGCACTGAGGTAGAGAGAGGCCAAAGGTTTTCAGTAGGACATTAGGTGTCTACACAGACCCTGAGGTGGAAAGGAGTTGTGAAGGACAAAGAGACAACCTGGGGCATCGCATTGACACCATGGGCAAAACAGGCCTCTCCTTACCTCATGAGAGACAGAGCAATCCAGTGATTTCTTTTCATTTTTTAAAAGCCCACAGCAGGTTTCTTCTCATACGGACAAAGCCCTCCAGACAGATAATCAGCACCTGAGGATCGAGTACTGGTCTGACCCTGCTTAAAAGTGGGTCAAGCTGATCACACGTTTTGCAAGGCAGCATTTTGCCACATGCGGCTGCCGCAAAACCTATTGCATTGGCACAGAGCAACTGTGATAGTACTCGCCAGGAGGGCTACGAGAGTGGGCTTTCAACGTTATTCCCTCATAATTCCTCGTTAAACGTTTCCTCAGCAGCCACCAGATCCAAGTGAGAGCATGGTGTCAGACTGACAAGTCCCATGTTTTCTGGGCCTTTGTGGTGGTGTAAGACCTGCCGGGACCGGGGACCACGTTGCCGTTGTCCCTCTCCCACCCTCAGACACAAGTAGGGCACAAACCCCAGATGAAAATAAGAAGAAATTTAATACAACAGTGTGATAAACAATCTGAACAACAACAGTAGCAATGATAGCAACAACAAACAGCAATAACAGTGAACAAGACAAAAGATATACAGAGAAATACCACAACGGTTACAGACAGCTCGCTGCGACGCTCCACGGCACCAAAGCCACAAAGGAAAAAGTTC